ATTCAATTCGCCCCTGCAAGAACTGGAGGGCCTCCCTTGCATCGGGTGTTTGCCTGGAGCGAACCCCCGATTCTTGAACTTCATTTGAGCCGGATCTCCTCGAAACGAACGGCTTTGAGCGGCTGCTCCAACCAAAGCTCGAAAAGTGCGTTTTAGAAAGTGATCTCTAGTTTGGTTCGGCACCAAGGTACGCCACTCAGAATCCAGCTGTCCGAAATTTCCCCTAGTACTCTCTGCTAGCTCTCGGCAAATCTACACTGTCTGGTTATCTTCCGGCGTCAAAACTTCCCGAATTCTCTCTACTAAGCCGCCTTTCATGCCCTAAAATCCTCCATGCCTCGACTGCTCGAAGGAACCTCCCGTTTTTCCGCAAAATTCCAGTGTATTTTTAGCAAAAATAGTGCAGAAATTCGGGGGATAATTGACTACGGGCCATTAAAATATTTCCCCTAAACGTCCCTCAAAAAACGTTCATCGCCGCGGGGGGCCTCATTTCCGCCAAAAAATTCCGCGATGAGACCCAAGCCAGGGTCCAGGAGATAAATTATGTGTGTGTCGGTTCCCGCTTCTATTCCGCTCCATTCCCATCCACATTCGATGATGAGGATGATATCCATGAGAAAAGAGGGGACCGAGGCCAAAATAGAGACTTCCGCTTCGACCGTTTAAAGGCGATGGGCCCGGGCCTCCTGCTCTGACTGCTAATGCTAATTCCATTTTACGTGAATTTTCGGGCTTTTCCTGAGGGGTATGAGGTCGTTGGAAGGTGCATTTGAGGTCAGGAGTTCGGCCTCCAATGATCGTTTCGTTGTTTATGAGGCTTAATGAAGGGTTGGCAGTCCGGGTACTGCTTTTAAAGGAACTGTGAATCGGGAGACGGGCCTTCAAGAGAACGGAACCTGATAGAAACCCTCAAATTCATCCAAAAATTGCCTAAAAAGTTGGTAAATGCCTAGTAAAGTCTCCGAAACGAACACTGGATGGTGAAAAAGCGATAGACCCGGAAACCAGCGGATATATTTTACTACTCAATTTTGGTTTTTAACGTGTTTGTCCAAAATTTGGAGTACAAGCCGATAGTGAATTGATACAAACTAAATTACTTCCTCCCTTATCCCTCAAGTTTCCTAACGTTCTTTGTTGCCGGGCGTACTCTTCAAAGACGGGTGGGTGGAATAGGGAACGATGAGCTGATTACCCTCATTCAAATGTGACTTTAGCGGGGAGGGCATCTCTAAAGATGTGCCCTTAGGGCAGGAATAGACTTACATACACACATCAATGAACTGTTTACGGGCAAACGTCATTTTCTTCACTTTTTATTACTCGGAAGCGTGCCACTTTTCCAGATTTAGCGCCTTAACAGGCCAAATAAGCCAAACTTGTTCCGCAGCTTTTCGGGGAGCAACATTTCCTGGCTGGTAAGTTGTTTTGTCTAGCGGGATGTCTGGAAAATGAGAAAACATTATTCTGATGATATTCAAACAACATTGGACTTTGCGTAAAGCCTAGACTGATGCCTGGCCTGAGTTTATCTTAGCCTTGGCTTAGACATGGCTTCGCATTGCTTCGGCTGGCCCAGGCTTGGCTTAGGCTGGCAGGCTTGGCTTAGGCTTTGGCTTGGCATAAGATTCACTTGAGCCTGGCTTAGGTTTCGCACTTGATTGGCTTTGGATTGGTTTAGGCTTAAGTTTAGGCTTGGCTTAGGCTTATTCAGAAAGGATCTTTGTACCAGATTTTAGAAGTAGGGCAACTTTACTGCCAATTCTTACTATTAGTGATCGGTTTTCTTTTCTTGTACCAGGCTGTAATAAATTTCCACTTGCTCAATCTTTTAACCATGAGCAATTATGAGAATTGCATGAATTCGTTTAATTTTTATCCACTTACTTTTATACCAAATAGACGGAAAAATCACATCGTCGCAATAAAATGATTTATAGCGCGATTATTCTGAGAAATTTCGTGGAAATCGTATATATGGAAACCACTACCCCATGCAACTTTTTATTCCGGCTATTGTCCACCCTCGAAAAAAAATTCTATTCAGCTCGTTTTTCCAAAATCAAAAAAAAATTCCATCCGCCATTCATTCACGCATTCGGAATCTAGACTCCAGCCATTCCGGCTTTCAAAAATTGCGTCAAAAGCGGGGCGTCGTCACCTGGAAAGGGAGGGTTAAGCCGTTTTTGATCCCGATTCCCGGCGTCAGGCTGTTTTTCTAGTGGCTAAACACCGCGCAACTGTTTTGCGGCATCTGGCAGGTGGTATTGTGCCACTTGAATTCTAATATCTGTCTGGTGTACTCAACGATTCTTCTGATTCCGGCAAATTTTTGGTTTCTGTCGTTAATCACAACTTTGTATAGTTTCCATTGCTTTTTTTGATGCAAGCCTCTAATGTTTTGCAAATGGTCACTGCTAGTTTTCACAAGAATTGCAAAGAATCTCTGCTAGCCAGCGTTTGGAATTGCTAAAAATAACTTTTTATGATGTCCATTTCCACAATAAAATTTTGCTTTCTCGAATTTGTCATTCCCACAAAGCGCCACTAATCTAAGCCTTAAGCCTAAATCTAAGCCTAAGCCTACGCCTAAACCTAAACCTAGCCCTAGCCCTAAGCCTAAGCATAAGTCTAACCTAGCCTAAGCCTAAGCCAAAGCTTCGAAACCGTTACTGCGATCAGTCCTACAAAGTTCCTAAAAAAACCCTACAAAGTTTTCAGCTGCTCTGTTATCCTATCGTAGCAAGTAATATCTGCTAGTAGTCCCCCAAGGCCAGCGTAAAATTTTACACAACTTCCGTCTCCCTTACTAATCAAAACCGGGTCCCTCATTCCTAGCCATTCCATTCTTCTTCACAGATCCTCCTCCTCCTTCTTGTCCGCCTATAGCATAATCTAAAATCTGCCCATCAAATATGGCGCACCCGGGTGGTGAACCGAAAAACATCGTCGAATATTCTATTTTTGGGCCAGCCCCGCAAGAAAACCTAGGATCCGTTCTTATGTTCTTTTTTGTCATTGAGGAAAACAAATGCTAAGCATGAGGTTGCCACGCTTCTTTGTTTCGTAAATTTTCTAAGCTCTTATATAGATTGAAGCAACATCTAGAAGGCACCAGAAGATATTTTTTTTGGAATTTTAGTAAGTCTCTCTATCTCTCTCTCTCTCTATCTCTCTCACTCTCTCTCTCCTCGCTATTTCCCTCTTCTCCCGCCCTATTCTCGGACAAGATAATCAAATTACGCGCCTACATTTAGATCCGGCGTGCGCATCATCGCCATACAGTACTTAAAGATACTACGAACGGATTGCCGGACACCTGCCCTAAAAGACACCTGTCCTAAAAGACACCTGCCCTAAAAGACACCTGCCCTAAAAGACATCTATCCTAAAAGACACCTGCCCTAAAAGTCGCCTGTCCTAAAAGCCGTCTGTCCTAAAAATCACCTGTCCTAAAATTTTTTTATACCGTATTGCACCCAATTATGTGCTTTGGAACGAAAATGTTAAAGGATAGATGAATTTTAGGACAGATGAAATGTCCTGAACGAAAGAGGTGACAAATTTTGGTGCAATACGGTATAAAAAATTTTAGGACAGACGACTTTTAGGACAGGTGACTTTTAGGGCAGCTGTCCTTTAGGACAGGTGACTTTTAGGGCAGGTGTCTTTTAGGGCAGGTGTCTTTTAGGACAGGTGTCTTTTAGGGCAGGTGTCCGCCCACCCTACGAACGTGTACATACTACGAATACAGAGATCTCAGCGTAAAAAAAGGAGCGTGAATTTTGGGAAGGGCCGATGGAGATCTCTCACTCTCTCTCTCGCTCTCTCTCTCTCGCTCTATCTCTCTCTCTCCGTCTCGCTTGGTTTTTCTCTTTTGAATTGCCGAGAACCGCTGCGCTCCTCTTGGCGCTTTCCGTCACAGCTTTTTAGATGTATGAATGATGACATAGAAGGATGAACCTATCATCCCCATTTCAGTTCCTCCCCATCCCCTCATAATTCCGATGAATGTTTATATAGGATGGCAACCGGGATGCGATGCCCCCTCATTTCCCGATAACTCGTGCCAAAAATTGCCTCATTATTATTTTCTATTTGGCGCTTCCTGGCCGGAGGAAGCCACTTGTTTGTGGCTGGTCTAGACGCGGGGATGTTATAATGAATATCACGGCGTTTTGCGCGTAGCGTACCTCGGTGTAGTTCGGAATATACCGGAAAAATGTCCATTTGAAGGTGACTATACTGATGTTGAGTCTTATAGATAAAGACTTTTAGATTTGATAAGCGAAGATTGGGAGAGGTAAAGAGAGCGAGAGAGAGAGAGAGAAAGAGAAAGAGAGAGAGCGAGAGAGACCAAGCGTTCCGTTTTAAATCTTAAATTGTTTTCCGATTTTGCTGTCTCTCTCTCGCTCTCTCACTCGCTCCCTTTCTCTCGCCCACGTTTTCCTCGCACTCTTTCGCTTCCTTGATGCTTAAAAATCTTATTTTTCGACTACCGTATACCGGACAGGTGTCATTTGGTGCAACATGTCGCTTTGCAAGCGTTTTTGTTTTCCACCGATATTGGCCTATCACAACGGCCAGCTTTATACAAACACCTGGCGCTGCCGATTCCTAATTCTGACAAATTTTTGATACCCTAATTCCTGTAGTTTCGTAATATTCAATCAATTTTTCGGATGCTAGACTCTCGTTAATTCGTGTATTTTTCCAAATTTCTCTCGGTAATAATATTATTTAATAAGGAGTCCAAATTTTGTACCCAAAATTTCGCAACTTTTTCTCTTCTCCAACTCATCCGCGAGGCTTAACTGATTCTGATCCTATATATCCCCCCTTGGGGATGGGATGAATTTGGGATTTCCTCCATTTTTCGCTTCCGTCCTTTTCGTTCCATTCCGCTCCACTTTACGATGCTAATTCACTGATTTCCAGCCCCTCTTTAACGTCCTAAAACGCATAACCTATCTGAATTTTCAGGCCTAAACCACAGGATGAAGCCGCTGGAAGGTGGAAATTTGGAAAGAATCGACAATAATTCGAACAGCTTGAATTCGACGGCCAATTCAACGGATGTGTAAGTTGACTCCAAATTTGACTAAAAATTATCGATTTTTTTTAGACTTATCGAACTTTTCCAAACGTTCAACACCGACACCCATGATCTGGAGAATAGCTTGCTCACCATCATCTACAGTTTATTTGCGTTTTTCGGGTGGGTTGGAGAGGCAGTTCGCATGTTTCGAGCTTGAGAAGTTGTTTCTATAATTTCTCAGCAGGGTAGTAATGTTTTGGATTTTAAAAGTTATGAAAGCGTCATAAAATTACTAAAACGCCTCAACAAATTATTAGAATCAAATATAACGTATTTTGCCATTAAAATTTCGAGTCCATTCTTTAGAAACTTTTAATTCCTATTTTTCTTTAGGTTGCTCGCCAACCTGCTGTTTTGCCTCGTGATCTGGCGAAACGAGAAGCTGCACACTGTCACCCATGTGCTGATGACAAATTTGGCGTTGTCAAATCTGTTATTCCTAATTTTCCACCCGTCCTACATCATTACGACGTATCTGTTGCAGCGCAGCTGGGTTTTTGGTCGGTTTTTGTAGCGATAAGTGTAGTTTGTAGTCTTATCAGATCTCGTTTTCATACACAACAATCGATTCGATAGATATAAATATTAAACATCTCCGAGTTATTTTTTGTGACTTCAAAAAATAATTTGGAATTGGCTTACTAGCGTCCTAAAGAATTGGAACATCAGATAACTTCGAAAAACAATTTTCCATTTTTCAAATATGAGTCCATTCCCTTTTCTTGGCAATTTAACCGGAAAAAAAGTCTAAAAACCGGCCGAACATGCTTGTAAAAATTCTATTTTTTTAAACATTGCCCAAAGAATTTTGTTATTAAAACCACATCTCCTAGGCCTTTAATAGACTGTCTAAATTTGGTTCCCTGAGTGTTTCCATTGTTTACCACGCTACAACTGATCACCCAATGCCCCATTTGCAGGTACATTCGTGTGTAAGACATCATTTTCCATCGCCTATGTGACCTCGACAGGTGCGTTTTAGCCGAGCCGGGGGCCAACACTGTTTTTTCAGTAAGGGGGAATGTCACGAGAATACTTTCGAGTTTGTGCGGGTTGAAGGAAAACGAATTAAAAGAGAGGCTAATTGTAAAAATGGCTAAAAATGTATAGCAAGAGTGATAAAAAAATTATATGAAAATGGCAGGAAAGTCAAGACGGGTTAGGTATCAGTTTTAACAAAGCTTAATCTGGATTCTAAAAATTGAAGAATCGCCATAAATCTAGAACAAAGCGAAAAAGTGGCTAAATCAAACATAAAGATGACATTTGAGTACGGTTTTGTTTATATTACTAATCAATGCGATGCCACGTGCTCAAAGGTCCATTTCTATCTTAAATCTTTAATAAATTCTTGATTATTTTAGGGTTACCTTAATTATACTTTTTTTAGCCTCGTTCTACTTCATGAGCCTGGTGGCGATCGATCGGTGGTTGGCGATATTTCGACGGAAGTATCGCTTGACGCGCTCCAACAGTATCTGTCTCGTCGGGATGGCGTGGGCCGTATCGTTCGTCGTCGCCGCACCGTATATGATTAGTGCAAGGGTGCGTTGCGTAGTCGTAAAAACCTGACCCTATAGCGACGAAGCCAGAAATATTTGCGTAAAAAATTTATGATTTTTCGCCTTTTTCTCCGGTTTTCACATGGAAAATATCAATCCTGGGATGCCCTTTTCGATTCAGGTGAAAGACTTCTACACGTTTGACAACATCGTCAAGGAGCACAGCCTCTCCCGAGCGCTTGGGCAACCAATCGCCCCCGAAGTCATCGCAAACGAAATCACAGCAAAAGCCGTCGATATGATGAAAAATTATGAAGATCTTTTGGTCAACTTCCCCGAGAATATCACCTTCGACGTGGTCGGCAACTCTGATGATGGCCCGAGGGATGAGGGCTGTAAGTTATCCAGTAACACGTATCTTAACTTAGCGTTCGCAGTGCCTATATTCGCATGGTTCGTATTTTTAGGGATCCCAAACTTAAATAACTTTTAATTTTAGTGGATTTTAACGCCAACACGACCTGGTATAGGTGTACGTCGAACACGGCGAGCAATACTGTATTGATTGTAAGTCTTTGAAACTAGTAGCTACCTAGTATTTACGCAAGTTGTGTAATACTAAGAAATTTTAGCTTTTAATTGTTTTTTTTTCAGTGGACTGTAATCCTACAGTATGTGCTGCCGTTATTGATCATGATCCCCACTTATGGGTGAGTCTTGCTCTCATTCTCTTTCTCTCTGCTGATCTCGCTCTCTCTCTCTCTCTCTCTGCCCCTCTCACTCTCTCAAAATAAACCCAAATTTTAGACACCTCGCCCACTTTGTCTGGAAGCGAGCACCAGTAGGCGTTCAATCACGCGAAAAACGAGAACGAGCTCATCGTCGGCGAAGAAAATTACTTGTCACTCTCCTATCCATTGTCTTGTTTTTGGTAAGGCATAGTACCCATTTTATAGTTTTTCCTAGCTGCTGGTAGCTCTGTCTGTCGACTTCGTCGGTGCGTCGGTTTATCTGTCTAATCGAATTTTATGTACAACCGCTTCAATGTCCGCATGTTTGGGTGTTAAATTTTGCCTTTTTCAGATCGTTTGCTGGTTACCCCTCTTCTTCGTCAACATTTTGATGAGCTGGAAGCTGATCCGGGTGGAGATCTACACGAGGGCGTATATCTACTGCTCTATAGTGACGTTGGCTGGGGTGGTGATCACGCCGATTTTCTACTTGATCAATGATGGGTGCAGGTAAGGCAAATATGCATTACACTCCCGCCCCTTAATTTTTGTCCGTTTCGGTGTTAAAACCCATAAAATGATATTGCGAATCCAAAATATTGGGATAGTGGTTATGTTTATTGGGTCCCCCGGGTTTTACTAGGAGTGATAGACGTCCTAAGGTGGCAAAGACCGATGCAATTGCTCAAAAATGTTGGGTTTTCCATGTTTTGGTCTATCTAAAAATATAGCGAGTGGAAAAGAGCAGACTTGAAATCTTCTTTTCAGGGAACAAGTAACACGGTTATTCTGCTGCCGAACAGTGCCCGCATCGGAACGAGAACGTCAAGCATTGATGACAACAAATCCTTATCCAGGTGAGTTCAGCAACCACAAAAAATCACGTTTTTCTCTCCTCTCATTAAATTTTTCTCCGTTTCATAGCTGTCTAATTTCCATATACGAATCAACCTTAGCGCCATCCAGAGTAGCATGGCGGAAAGCAAAAGCGCTATTTGACTCCATGTATCTAAAAATAATTTCAAGTGTACCTTTGAATCTCAAATTTTCTTAAGTTCCTCGTGTGCTTCCATAAGTTCATATCAAATCTTTAATTTTACCTTTTATTTTATGGAGTGACTAACATTAAGTTCAAACTTTTTGCGGCGTGCTGACCTTGGTTAATAGGGTTTCGTGATTTCAAAATTGTCTTGATTCTCTTGGGATTAGATATTAGGCAAAATAACTGTCAAAAATGCTAAATTTCTTCTTCAAATTCTTATTCATCTTCATGCAATTAAGTCCAAAATAAGCTAGCTTATTCATCCAATTCGCCAAAATCAATCATTTTATGCAAATTACAATATTTCGCGCCCTCTCCTGGCCAGCATGACCTCTCCGGTGTTCTGTTTTGCAGAACGGTCGTGCGAGGTTGCCGCGTGGTTTCGCGAGACTGGAACGACGAATGTGCTCGTCTCCGTATCCGCCTGTACGTCTCCCGAATCGGAAAAGAAGCACCGGAACAAGGCATGGGTCATTTCGAGGAGGCTTTCAAGCTGTTCGATATGGCTTTAGGGTCTTTTGAATTGTGGTGTGCTGCTTGAGAATCTTACTAGAGCCAGAAGTCAGAGAGAGAGAGAGAGAGAGAGAGAGAGGGAGAGAAACAGAGATAAACAGAGAAAGAGACGGAGAGAACGTGAGAGAGAGAGAGAGAGAGAGAGAGAGAGAGAGAGAGAGAGAGAAAACGACAGCGAGACAGAGAGACTTACTAACCTTAAAACCGAATGCCTAACTTTCACTGCACGTGCCCGAATAAACGCTAAACATTGCCATAGTTTTTCGCGATCCTTATTTTTGCATTAATAGAAGCTTCTAGGGGCACATTACCTAGGCTTTGCCAGATACGCATATTAACGCAGTTTGAATTTTTCTATTTGTTGAGAATTGTTTTATTTTACCCATTTTCAGGCCAACTCCATACCCCGCGAGAGTCTATGAGTGTGGCGACCACATTTGGAGTGTCGTTGAGCCACTAGAAGAAGATTACGCTTGACTACGCTACGCCACAGCCACGCCGCCATCTGCCATGAAATCGTGTCGGCTAAAAAAAATTGTTTTTGAAGGCTTTTAAAAGGACCGGAAAGTCGTAACAATATTGAACCTATCTGAGGGGAACATGGTATTCAAATTTCTCCCTGTTTTAGAAATTTTTAGATAAGCGAAAAACATGACTTTCCGGCCCTTCAAAAACTCTAAATACCTTTTGTTGATGCTTCCCGCTTTGTACTTTGTACTTATCGAAACTTTTCTACGCCATTCTTATTTCTGATCTGATTTCCCTATATCGATCTCAACAGCCGTGTCCAAAGAAAATCTCGAAAACGGGTACCTTTTTTGCTACGTGCGTATGACGGATAATTTATTTGTATTTTTCCCCATGATTTGGTCTGTTTCCCCCAAAAAATCGGGTTGTGATTCGTTGGAAAATGTACTGGCTTGCTTCTTAATGAAGTTATGTTTTTTGGAAAATCGAATTAGACTCGGATACGCTAATCGGCCTTCCCTTAAAAACAAATTTTCCTATTTTTGATCCGCTACTGTAATCAAACTTTGGTGAACAAGCTTAATTCGGGTGGCAAGAATTTAAATACAAATTTTTAAATTTCAACTAAGTTTTTAAATTAACGGCTTGTGAAGAAATCAGGAATTATTGCATTTAAAGCCGATTTGCCTATTTTTATTTGGTATTTAAGGGTGGAAAATGCATTTACTTTACATGATTTGCTATTTGACTTGAAAAACTAATCTTTCGATAGGTTTCAGCGCTTCAAATGCGTTAAAAACGCCCAAAACCGATGCAAATTTCATTTTCCGTCTTGTCCCTTTCGGCTTCCCTATGTACGGTATCTCTACATCGGTTAATAAAATGCTTTAAATGACAACTGCAGTTTGTAATAGCAATAGTAAGTGAATGTTATGGTTTGTAGGGTTCAAAAATTCAAATTTTACATTTTTTATCAATATCACAGGGAGGGGTAGCAGATTGATTGCATTTCGCACACAGACATAGGCAGAAAACCAAAAATGGGTGAGCAAATTCTCGGAAAATTCGAATTGATTTTTGAGGGGAATCTGATGGATTTGCGGATTGTGAGGGTGGAGGCAACGTTGAGCAACTATAGACAGCAAGGTTTGCAGAAGACAAAATGGAGGCTTGAGATGGCAATACTTTTCGGCGGCTAGAAGTGCATATCCGTATCGAGGTATTCGGAGAGCTTGTCTTCGGGGGGTGATCGAGTGTAGCCCTGAAAAATTAGACAATTCAGTGTGTAATTATGCAAATTAGTAGGTAAGTTGTCTAAATTGTCATGAAAATTATCCAAATCGACCCCCAAAAACATGCAAAAAATAAAAATAAACTGAAAAAATAGCACACTTCTTACCGTAATCCCTGTTTCCTACTGGCGTTTCTAAAATTCAGAAATATTTTCTGCTAGCTGTTATGCATATTTGAGCCTTTTAGAAATATTCTTATAAACCAAAAATTGACTCAAAAAAACTTAGTAAACTGAGGTGATTATGTTGAGCTTTTAAAATTCTATTTTTTCAAGTACCGTAGTGTTCGAGCGCATCGTTGCGTAGTCAGGCAGTTTTTTCTGGAAAATGCCCAGGATGCAAATTTATGTTTTTCGGCCATCGCCGTCTTCTAGCTATGCCTAACTACCTAGATGTTACGAGGAACAACTTTCAAACGTTAAAATGACCCATCCCCGACAAAACCTACCCCATTCAAGTAGCCCTTGTCGTTGAGGTCGATCTCATCGTCCTCGTGCTCGACATCACTGTCATAGTCATCATCGGCCGCTGTGTACGACTTGTATTCATAGTAGAAGATGGCCATTAATGCGAACACGCCGATGACGACCGCCATGCAGACTAAAAAAATGTTTTTTAGAATATTTCTAGGAATGAGTTATACTAGGTCTAGTGAAAACCCCAAATTCCGAAAGAGCCTTTGCTAGATTGCCCCGGGATGAGCGATAATGAGCCAGCTTTAAGAAAACTCACTTGCATACACGAAGAACATGGTGGCCATGTTGCTGAAAGGATCCCAAGCTGTGATTCCGACGATGATGGTATCTCCTACAGCTGTTGTCAGAAGCCACGCTGCTTGCACGACGGCCTTCATCGATGGGGCGCACTATAAAAATCAAATTGTACAGCCGTCGTGCGGTACGGTGTTGCATTTTTTACAAGGAGTGCTTTTTATCATCGGCCTTGACCTTGCTCATTCGATAAAATCGATTCTGAACAAAACCCCGTTGTTTTTTTGCAGAATGCCTATCCCTGATTTTATAAAATTAAAATACTAGTGACCGTCTCTTATCATGAGTGCCTTTCGAGCCAAAAGAGAGACTTTTGGGGGCAGTTTTAAAATTTTATAAAAGAGGGATAGCCATTCTGCAAAAAAGAACAACGGGGTTTTGTTCAGAATCGAATTCTCTATCGAATGAGCTAGGTCTCGTAAGGTTTTGCCGATGACTCAAAAAAAGCACTCCTTATTAGCTTGAAATCCAGGATTTTTCAGGATTTCGAATCCAGGATTTTTTTTATACGGCTAGTAACGTCAGGTAAGGTGACAGCACGCATCGTAATAATGTTTTTAGGAAAATTTAACTCTATTTCAGGCGCAACGTCATAAAATAATATGAAAACCTCTTCGGATGGCAGCGTTTTCTGAAAAACAGGCCATTTTCGCCGGAACGATCGATGTTTTTGGATTTTTTAAATCTCTAAAGTTTCCGTCGTCGGGAAAAAAGGTTAGGAAAGGAAAAAAGAAAAAGAAAAAAAAAAGGTAAAAAAGGTTTAGGATCAGTTCCTGTGTTTATTTTAGAAAAACCTAAGCAAAAAAGTCCTGTGAATAAAGTTTCTCCGTCTTACCTGCGAATAGGCAAACTCGTAGCCAGTGATGGAGAACAGAATTTCGGCTGCTGTCAGGACCACGATTTGGGGTACCTAAAAGAATTATATAAAATTTATAGTATATCAACCATTAGGAAAATTTCTTCGCGCAAAACCATCATAAATAATCTTCACTTTCTTCTGCTGTCAGGCCCCCGTTTAAAAAGTCCACCAACCTGCCAGAGGATGCTGACGGAGTTGTCCTGGACGATCTGCATCGCCGGCATGTAGCCGTCATCTTGGGTGAGGGCTAGCGTTTCGTTGGTCTAAAAAAATTTGCATTGATCGGCCTCTTTCTAACGGGATGGATATAAATTTAATGTGCTTTTTTGTCAGTAGTTACCTCAATGTGGTATCCCGAAAATGCATACCTGGCTGCTGAAGATTCCGAAGAGATACACACCGCCCTGGGAGCGGATGTAGATCGTCGCGTTGAGTGGGGTGACCTAGAAAACAAAATTTTAATCGATGGTGTTGTTTTGTTTTATTGAGACTCACTAAATCGAAATGAGCGGTGATTTCTGGAGGTCATTTCGGAATTTTTGCAACTCACATCAACATGTTCCGGTGTCGTCTTTCCGGCGTCCTTTGGTGTCGACGGCAATTTGTACAACCACCAACTGAAAATGATGATTATCACGCCGATTTCGGAATATGGCAAAGTCCGCGGTAAAGATTGCTTAACGGGGGGAATGGAAAGCAACCTTTACCGGGAAATCGATAGTCTACCGCCTTAATCTCGATCGATATCCCACTTACCGCCCGGGCTTCACCGGCTTCATCGAGTACTGCGTGGCGTACGTGGGCAGGTCGGGGTGAGTCGTATTTGCCGTGGGGTTGCGGAAGTAGGTGAGCTGATCGTCACGATCATCTTTGCCCTGGTTGTAGTTGGATTCCCAGCTAAAACAGTGAATTCGCGTCGTTCGCGTCGCACGTGCCGCGTCGCACTCGTAACGTGCTGCGTCGCGTGTTAGCTGGGGATTTAAAGGGATGCCGACGGCGTAGTCAATCGGTTACGCGCTGGAAAGAAAATATCTCTGCGCCTCTCCCCGGGGCGCGCTCTCTGCCTTGTTGGCTACTTGCCAACTTGTTGATGGGGGGGGGCGGCACATGCCGTCGGCAGCTCTTTAAAGGGGCTCCGAAATCTGGTCCACGGCCCCCTGCTGTGATTCCTGGCAAATAGCCAGATGCGACCGCAACGCGACCGCGCCGCATGATCTTTTACCCCTGTTTGGACGCGAAAACGCTTGAATTTAAAAATTCTGATGCTATTTTTGAAATCCTCGACGAATTTTGATCATTCTAGACTTTTAAATTATGAAAATTGACCAGAGAATCGCCGAGATCGAGAGATTGGGTGCCTTACAAGGCATTACGACAGGTAATCGCCGCGCACTCAAAATGTCGTTTTCGCCCCAAAAAGAATTCGGATTTTCTCAAATATTTTACGTTTTTTCGCAATGAAATAACTTTTCTGGCACTTCTCGGCAGTGACCCTTGCGTTTTTTGACCAGTAAGTTCAATCCCCGCAAGCACGAATTTTGACTTCTGAGCCCCTTTAAGGGGGGTCAGGTAGGCACTGTTGAAAATGCTTGTTGATCCCCCCGTAGTAGGCGGAGGTCAACAAACATTTTCGATTCTGCCTTCCTACCCCCTGTAAATAAGGCCCAGCGGAATTCTGACACCTGCCTGACCAGAAACTTACTAATAAAAATCAGTCGGTTTCCTCGGCGAGCAGGGCGGATCTTTTGGCAGTCCGGTCTTGTCGTCGGCTCGACAAACCACCATATTTTCCTGGTCGCTACCGAAGCCGTAGTCTTTCTTCATCGCCATCAGCAGGCTTAAAATGGAAAAAAATAAAAGTTAAAACATCAAATTCCAATTCCCATTTTTCAGTTTTTCAGCTTTGCGCCTCGAAATGCATCCGAAAATGAAGCGCCGTGGCTTTGCCGAAGACATAAAAAGGGCTTTCCGGGTCGCGGAAATTGGTTACATAACTTCCGTTAATTTTTTTGCAAAGTTTTCCGCTAAATTTTTAACAAATAAACAATATAACGTTTTTGAAAGTCTG